CGAATCGAGACTAAGAAGATAAAATGTTGTATAATAAGAAATATAAAAATAATGACGGACCTTTTAAAGTCGTAATCTCTGCTTTGATCACGATATGAGTTTCGGCCAGTTGTTGCCTGTATAAACAATTTTGAGATGGCAATGCCACGACTCTCGCCTGCTTCTCCGACGCCAATACGACAAATTGACGATCCTCGAACCCGTCTCCTGTACCTGCTTGCGTATTCATCGATGGAGACATTCGACTGTTCGTACATTTACTTTGACTTCCTGTGAAACGGGGAACATAAACACATTTATCGTTTCTTCGTACACCGAATCGTTTCTAAACAAACACACTTAAACCTTAACTTTGTATTATATAAATCATACACAATTATCTAACGTACTATTGCGCTCTTTGCTGTCCATACTGTCATCTTTCCAAGACTCGTAAGAGTATGGAATCAGGGCACCGTTACAATCCAAGAATGACATCGACAGTATGCATCCTTTCAACTTAAACGTAGATCCATCTGTGAAAAATATGGGATTAAGTTGTATAACTACACCAAAATGATGTGTCAAAATTTAATAAATTTGATAAATTCCAAATTACCAATAAAGTTGCTTCGATGATCTATCGAAGTTCGAAAGATAATAATAATTGGAAATAATTGCCATTCACTTACTGCACGTAGAAACAACGACTGGATGCGCGTGTCGTTCTCCACGAGCTGGCGTGTTAAATATCACCGTTTGTATAGATCCTAAAGAGGTGCCGATCCAAAGCGTTGGCACGGGGCTGGTATCTTGATTGGCGAAAGAAAATAATAATAAAAAAAAAAAAAAAGAGAAAAAAGAAAAAGATAAAATAAATCTTTAGATAGAATTCGAGAGAATTAGAATAATACAGAAACATACCGCTCTTTTTCGTGTAGGAATCTGCGAATGTAAGGCAGCTGATGGTTTCGGTGGTGATATTCTCGAGCGACGACATGCTCGAGCTCCTTGACCGTTGAAACGAACTGTCATATTTGTCTACCCGGCCAGCAATCCCGAGAATAAATGGAAAATTAAAATACCGTAACGTTGCGTAAACGTATTATTACGTATTATTAGATTATAATGGACACGACGAGCATGCAACACCTATAATATTCACAATAAACATCCCCGACAAATTTAGCCATTTTTTTTTTAAAATGAAAATTGAATCGCAAGGAAAATCGCTAAAGAGATCGACAGATCAGATCAGAAGTATAATAATAAGAAAAAAAAAAAAAAAAAAGAAAATAAAAGGAAAATTCGAAATTGATGATTTCGGTTTATATTGACAAGACAGATGTGATGTGACGAGAGAAATAGCGATAATTGTAAACAACAATAATAATAATAACAGCGACAGCAACAACAACAACTATCACGACTAGAGTGTATATCTCTCTTGATATATATATATATANTATCTTCCATTCATTTCAACATTCATCAAGTCGATCCGACGTGTATCTATTCTGTCGCAGAATTGGAAATTAGAATGCCAACGCAAAATGAAAGGATAAAATAATAATAATATATATATATATATTAAAAAAAGGAAACAAATAACGTTATTCATAATTGTTATAATCGAAAGATTGGTGAATCGGAAGCGAATAGTGTGACGACGCGACACTACGTGGCGCGATTAATCATGCGCAAGTTACGTGTCTAAACTAAACACAATAAATCCCAATTTCCATTCCACGTTCCATCCACGTTCCATGTTAATTATCTTTCGCCAAAAACTTGAATCTATATATTTAAATTAATTAATTAATCTTCCTGCATTTGTTAAAAATGTTAAAAATCGAAACACGCATAAAAGAAAATTTACTTTTTCAAATTTTGCAAATCATGGAATTAAATTTCGGATCCGTTTTATTAGCATTCTAAATGAAGATGTTATTCGCTTCAACTTGTCGATTGTAATTATCAAAAGAGATCGTTTTTTTCTTTTTTTTTTTTCTTTTAATCCTAAATTAATAATCGAATAATAATAAAAGGAAATGTCGTTGGAATGAAATTTTCGCCTCTGCATAATATTCATTGCAATGCGCTGTTGTCCTCGAGTAAAGTGAAATCTCGATCGATATTATTGAAATGACGAGTTGCGCCACTCGATCATTTCGATAACGAAATTATAATCCACGCTCTCAAAAACGTTCGAAACCTCGAACGCAAAAGGCGTTGACCTATTTTTTTTTTTTTTTTTTTTTTTTTTCTCTTTTTCATCAAACTCAAAACGTGAATTTTTGAAATAATATACAAGACGATCGAATCGAATAAGAGGGGAGAGGGAAAAAAAAAAAAAATCTTTAATAGCAAGAACACGATTATGCAGTTTGCAATTTAAAAAAGGCATTCTGCGACATCCCTGCGAATTCTACGCTTTTGAAGATATATTCAGAATGCATACAGTATATCCGCGTAATATGCACAAGATTTTAATAAAAGTTTCAATCAAGTTTTTTTTTTTCGAAATAATAATACAATTCGTAACTTAAAAATTGATTTACCCCCCCGGAAGATTAACATTATTATTATTATTATTATTATTATTATTAATTAAGTTGAGACGTAATAAATTCATCTTTATCAACATCCTGTGCATGTTCGATGTTTCGTATATAGTTATATACTAGTGTACACCGAGCGGAAGAACGAACTGAATCGTTATCATTAGGCAACATTTATCAGTAAAAGAAAAGGAAAGGAAAGAGAAAAGAAAAAGGAAAAAGCCAACCGAAAGATTAGGCAGATAGAAAATGGAAAAATCGGAAAGAGAACGCGGAAGAAGAATATATCTTTCATCAGAGGTGCATCAGAGTGAGAGAGAATTAGAAAATCGCACGCAAAGTTGGAATTGGAATGTGCCGTTTTGTGTTTTTTTTTTTCTTTGAGAGAGATAGATAGATAGAGAGAGAGAGAGAGAGAGAGAAAGTGGAGTTTGACCAAGAGCGAGAGTGAACAAATCTTTAGGAGAGAGAGAGAGAGAGAGAGAGAGAAAAAAAAAAGATGCGATGCAGAGTAATAAAGTCTGCCCAGAGTATTAATTATAATAATCCACACATCATGTCAGCAAGAAAAAGACCAGACAGTATTTAACGTAACATAGCGAAAAAAGAGGCACGATAACGAAGACCAACCTTAAAAAAAAAAGAAAAGGAAAAATTTTTTTCTACGCATTTTTTTCCCGACACACATGGTTTCTAAGAGAACGACCCCGAGAACAAGATCGAGAAAACGCTGGTCTCCATTAATCGTATCGAACCTATATCGTAAGAAGAATCGCTCTATTAACGATGATTGAAATCAAAGGAAGAACGAAACGGAGGAAAAAAAGCGGTTCAGAGAAGAATAGATTCGTTGATCTCTGATAAATATATATATATATAAAATATACGTAGAAAAGAATCGATATAATCAAGTATATTTATATATACATATATATATATATGTATATGTTATTTATATGTATATATGTATATAGCAATTGTATATAGGTAGATAGAGATATTAATAATGATAATTCATCGAAATAATACTACCGAAACTGTTATACTGTCTGGTGTTGGAGAGAATATTCTGGTAGTTGAAAGAAGGTTGCGGAGCTGTCGACGAATAGCTTCGTATCTCGGCGCTACGGTGGCTAGGGATCAACGAAGCCGTTGGAAAGTTGTTCAACGAGGAAGAATCCAGCTCATAATGGTTGGTAGTGGTACTCAGACACTTCTGGAGCTTTCTTATACCCTGAGCACGAGATTGACGTGGCTCGACCGTAAGGGATTTGCGAGAACTCGCATTCGAGGTGGAGGCGACGACATCGTCGTCGCAACCGGCATTTACCACGGTATTCCGAACACCTGATCGAGGGCTAGTGCACGCACCGCCCGCGGCGCTACTCTCGCTATCGGAACCGCCGTCGCCGCACGGGCTACAGGGGCTATTACTATCGGCGTTGTCACTTTTCTCACCGCAACCACCACTACCACCAACGACCATTGTACCTCTTCGCGTTATCGCCAACACGCACATCCCGTTCATCTACAAATCACCGACAGATCAACTGTGAAGAAAATATAATGAGCAGTCTTGTGTATCCCTGTTTTTCAACTTCCAAAAAAAAAAAAAAAAAAAAAAAAA